CTTTTTTCTCTTTTTTTCATCATGTAAAGGATTTGAAATTAACACACATTCTGCCATATTATTTTAGATATTATTCAACATTCTCCAGATTTTCTCTCTAGATTGAATTTATATTTCCTGTAAGTAATGATAAGAGCATTCATGTCAACAAATCTAAAATCTATTTGGTAACTATGCACTTTAAAATAGTCCTTGAAATTTCAAAATAAGTTGCCGTTCAGCTGTCTGTAAAAAAAAAAAAAAAAAAGTGATTAAAAAGAAAAATGTACACTTTTCACATTCAACCTATGAACAAGATGAAAAGTACTTCCAAAAAAAATTCTTTTCTTTTTAGTTCCTTGCATTCTATTAAGTAATACGTAATTCGATCTTTTAAATTAACTGGATATGGTTTTTTTTAAATGCTCATAATGTCCTTGCACGTCTCCCAGTTCCTAAAGTTTATCATGTTCAAACACCCTTAGGATCTCTCTAGCACGACAATGCATTCAGGAAATAAACTTTTTCTTTCGTATGCCTAAAATCTCCCCTTTTTTCTTTTATAATTTTACCTTAATTCTGTTTCCTTAAGAGTCAATGGTACTTTTGCTTTGCTATAGGATCCACTTATTTTACTGCCTTATATAGCAGCAGCTCCTTCCCACACAGAACATTTCTTTCATTAAAAAAAAAAACAAAGTAAAAAAAAAAATTCCTAATTAAATATATAATTTATTTAGTAACCAGGTCTTTACGCAAAGTCACTTTGGGATATTGGATATGTTGTTTTCCTTCAAATCATCTTAAGCCTTCAAGCTAAGAAACATAAAACAATTTCAATGTAAATCATTTAGCATATAAATTTGATTTGGACTAAGAAATAACAGTATAAAAACTGCCAAAATTTTAATGCAAAGTATTCATTTTCTTGGCTCCTTATATTAGGATGAAAGAAAACCCACTTTTTAATTATGAATTTAAGTGTTTGAAAAATAATTTTCAGCCTGAAAGACAAGCCAGTTTTGTTGTTTTTTAAATTATTTGTGTCCAGGAATTTTTCTGGGAGAACATAGATGGAATTCATAGTAAAATAAATTTAATGTAATTCCATCATTTTTTTGGAAAGCTCACATGACAGAGTCATATCCCATTAATTCACAGTGATCACTAGAAGGCCAACTGAAAACTACAGAATAATACAAACTAGAGCCAAAAAATTTAAACGGTTCACTACACAAGACCTCATTTATTTTAGGTTAAAAAAAAAAGACATGTTGTCTTCCCCATGATAACTCTGTGCAACAACTCTAACTCAAATGACCATTCTGTAATGAAAAAAATTACCTTTTAGGGTTATGAATACTCACGGTATAATGTTATGCATTTATGTTTTTTCTGAAACACTTCTGGATGCAGATTCAGATTCTGCTACAAACATGTAAAATATTCTGCACTGCAAGGCAATGACTGAAACAAAATTTCTCTTCCAAAGTTGCTGAAAACTCCATAGCTCACAAAGACAAATTGTCTTATTATCATTATTAGTGTTTGTCAAGCTATACTATATATATTCTTTCTATATATATAGAATACTCTATTCTCTAACTCTTCCTGAAAGAAAACCTTGGTGAGTGACAGAACTGCAAATCCAATCAAACATCATGAAAACTGGCCGTAATAAACTTTGTTATAGCGAAACTCCACTTAAGGGTGCAGCAAAATGAAAATCACGGAGCACGTTTATGCTTTTTCACCAAGCAAACTGCATTTACACAGCCACTTGAAACTGCTGACAGCCAAGTTTTTTAGAGAGGGAAAGAGTCACACAGAATGTCTTAATAGGTAATATGAATAATAATCAGGATTTCTGAGAATACTCCCCAGCACTGCTCTCAATAGAGTTTAATCAAAGGGACCAACTGTAACTTTTGAACATTTAACCAAAATTCTTCTTGTAGTTAAAAGACAGATGTGGTGTGAAAGCTCAAATTCACAGTTAATAACTTCCCCCTCCTCAAACACATACAANAAATTCACAGTTAATAACTTCCCCCTCCTCAAACACAAATAAAAAAAAAAAAAAAAAAAAAGATATTTAAAAGCTATAAAGCTATAAAGCCCTGTTTAGGCCAACAAGTTGTTACATTTCTTGAGCAAGGACAATTTTCTAAGTACAATCATTTCCTTCAACAAGGTAACTCATGTAAACACCATCAGGGCCGTACTGTTTGTTCTGTGCTGCCAGATGGGGGATATAAACCATGCAGAAACAATTTCAGATTTCCACCCTGATTAGTTCATCTTGAATATTTTCACAGTGTGAATCTGGAAGTCAGAAGTTTACATAATGGTTATAAATTAGAGAGAAATCCTGCTGCCAAGAAAGTCACACTCAAGCAAACAAACTGTCTCCTTCCTAACATGTTTTAGGTGTTGCTTATCAAACACACTCTCAGCTGTAGGTGGAAAAAGACCTTGAATTCCTCGTCGGCTCTTGGACTGCTGTTTTCCCACCGCGGGCTGTTTAGCCACAGCGGTGGTTTACCCGCACCGTCCCCATCCCCATCCCGTGCCCGGTGCCTGGCCCGGCGAGCGGAGCTTGCGGCAGCCTGCAGCTCCCTCCGGGGGCCAGCGGAGAGCCCGCAGCCTCCGAAACCCCCGAGGAGCTCTGAGCCATCGGCCCGGGAGAAACTTCACTGAGCAAAACATACCCCCTGCAAGTCCCCGACTCCTTCACACCAAAGAGTTTTGCTACCAGGCAGCCGAAGGGGTGACTTGCCCTGCAGCCCCGAACTCCTCTCATCCATGCTGTGCCTTCCTGAGCTTCTTCAGAGCATAGCTTTGGCTGGGTTTTACTGTCATCCCAGAACACAAGCCTCAACCCCAGCATTACTTTAGAAAAACTCAACATAATGCCAGTTCTTATTAGGCTCGATGGTGGCTGGGGTTGAAAGGAAAATAAAGATCACAGTGTGCCTATAGAGTAGATAACAAATACCCAAGACACGTTTATGCAAAGGCAACTCTCAAGGCACAGGCAGATGGAGTAGGCAAAAGGTAAAGTTTACACATTCTTTCCAATTGGCTTGGCTGAGTGCTAAAGCCACTAAAGCGTTTGCTTTTATTCAGAAATCAATCTAAAATTCGTCATGTGCGAGACATACAATTGAAATTTCTAGTTATTGTAAGTACAGGGGTCTGTTCTGCCCTCTGATACATGCACAAGTTCAGCTTCCCTTTAGGATCATCAGGGTTAATGTATATACGTGTTCGGACAGAGTTTGGTATTATCTCCGTGGAGCAGCGAATAACATTAGGTCAAACAAGCCAGTTTCATTTAATACTAAGCATGTTTAAGGATAAATGTCAGAGTTCAGTTCTGCTGACTAATGATGTAAATCAGGAACCACTGAAGCCAGACACCTATTCCAATCTTATACCAAATTTGTGTTAGGATTACTCACTGAAATAAATCAGTTCTTTACCAGGAATCCATCCTACTAACCCATGAGCAGTTCATAAACTTTGCTCAGACAAGGAAATCATGCCATGCAGGTGAGTAAATTTATTTGTGTGGTTTAACTACTTGCTAAAGTTACTTTTTTATTGCTGCTGTTGAAGTATTTTCAGCTGAACATTACTTCTCTTTTTAAACAAAGTTTTGCAGGAAATACCCATATCTTTTATTTTCTCTTTTCTTTTTTTTCTCTTTTTCCTCTTTTTTTCCCCCTCTTCATTCAACCTTTCCCACCCCCATATTTTTTTCTTTTTCTTTATTTTTTTTGTCTGTCCTTCCTTTCCCCTCCCTGAGACATACTATATGAATTTTTAAAAAAAAGAACATGTCCAACATACTTTGCAAAGTTTTCTAACCAAAAGGTTTTGACGTTTTAATGAAAACATCACAGATTTTGAGTATTTGTTTCGTTTTCCTTGTTGTTGTGTTTTTTTTTTTTTTTTGGTGGTGGTGTTTCGTTGTTATTTTTGTTAGAGCTTTTTGGGTTTTTTTTTTTTTTTT